CTATGATTTATTTCTCCAAAAAATGTGATGGTTGTTACTAAAATATTTCTTTCCATTTCAGGTACCGGTAGTATGCTTTTTATTATCTTTTTTGTTATAGTGAATTCACTTGACCCATTTCCAGTCTGTATGCTTCAAGACTTGTAATAGCTGAAGCCTTCATTAGTATGAGAAAGGCTCCAGCTATTAACCTGCAAAACAACAGATTTGTCAGGATTTTGAAATGATTTTTGATTAATTTAAGTTTTAATTTGTGATCTGTATCCACCAGGGTTGGCGATTTTTTTTTTATTTTTTTTTTTTTTAATCAAAAAAATAAAAAATCAATGATTTTTTGATTTTTCCATGATTTTTTTTATTTATTTGATTTTTTTGATTTTTTCAACTTTTTTGTCTTTTTGATGTGTTATTTTTTATGTTGCAATTAGCCTACTAACAATAACAGTATATGATCATAATGGATGGCTAAAAAGGGCACTTATTGCCTTCAATAATGGCCAACAGGCCAAGGTGGTGTTTACCACTTAGGGATTTTTGGGTAAACAATTGTTGGCAAGTCTATTCGTTAGCTTTGTAAAGTTTGTATGGAGCAAGGTAATGAGCTAAATATTGACCATTTAACTGGCTTCAATATACAAAAACACTTCAGGAATGCAGATCTTCTAAACATTGAAGAGTCACAGATAGGTAGCTGATAGCACAGTGCACAGCACTATTAATAGATCCACTAGTTTTATGTCCTAAAAATCTACCAGACTCTACCCTCTATACACACCGACTAGTAGTGACTGTAGCTGATAGCACAGTGCACAGCACTATCAATAGATCCACTAGTTTTATGTCCTAAAAATCTACCAGACTCTACCCTCTATACACACCGACTAGTAGTGACTGTAGCTGATAGCACAGTACACATCACTATCAATAGATCTACTAGTTTTATGTCCTATAAATCTACCAGACTCTACCCTCTATACACACCGACTAGTAGTGATTGAGTGACTGACTGCACTGTTCCCATTTAATTCAGACCAATAAACCAATACTAAACGTAAACTGAACGATAACCAAACAAACCTCATACGACTTGAAACAAGACTCAAGTTATGAGAAAATCTAATACTGTTTGAAATAAACGTGTGCACAATTCAAATATTTTACCTATATCCATTCACTGCATTTAATTATTTTATATATAGTCTTATAATTGTAATTGTTTTGTTTCTAGTTTTAAATTCACATATTTAAAGATTGAAATTAAATATTTTAATTAGAATACTCGTATTAGGATGGTAAATCTTTCTAATTGCCTAAAAGGTCAATACAATCTCAACCTCTCAATATACAGGGTGGGGGAGAACTGATTGAGCAGTTTTGAGGTAAAATAAAAGAGTAATGGAGGTACATAAAGAAGAAAGTTTATTATCCTAGAAGTTAGCATAACATACCATTTAGAATACTTATGTTTTGAAAACAATATCTGGAAGATGGGGCTATTAGCTGCAACACACTGTTGGAGTCGTTTTCTGAGGAGGGAGTAACCGTGATAGTGAATTCCGATCGCTATGCTGCAATGTTGCAAAATGTCTTGCAGCCCATGATGGAAGACATTGTTGAAAATGAAGCAATGCAAGATGTGTGGTTCCAGCAGGATGGGGCTACAGCTCACACAGCCCGAATGTCACCCAATGTTTTGAAACACATGTTTCCGAGAGGTCTGGTGTCTCTGAGGGGTGATTTACACTGGCCTGTGAGGTCACTTGATTTGAGCATTTGCGATTTCTTTCTTTGGGGACATCTAAAAGAGAAGTTCAGAAGTTGCCCTCACACCCTACCACAGCTAAGGGGATGGATTATTGCAGCAGAGGTTATGGCCATACCTCGCCATATGTGTGAACGTGCTGTATGAAACTTCCGAGAACGACTCCAACAGTGTGATGCAGCTAACAAACCCCATTTTCCTGATATTGTTTGCAAAACATAAGTATTTTAAATGGTATGTTATGCTAATCTTGAGGAAAATAAACTTTCTTCTTTATGTACCTCCATTATATATATAGTCAGATGGGGTAAGACAGGACCAAAATCACTAACAAGCCTGTAGCATCTATACCATGAATAACTAAAAAACCATAAACCTATCACAAGGTGTTGTTGTGCAATGGGCTTCTAAGCTACAACTCAGACATTTTGCATCTCACATAGTTTTCTGTACAGATTAAAAAAAGTGAGCTGGTCCCATCTTACCCCATTGGGGTAAGATGGGACCAGGCTGGGGTAAGAAAGGACCAACTGGTAACTCTTATGTTACAAGGTGTTTAATAAAAATACAAATATGATATTCAATATTATCCATCTAGAAACACATTATATACTCTTTTATTTCGCCTCAAAACTGTTCAATCAGTTCTGCCCCACCCTGTATAAGCTAGCTAACACATTTAAATTGTATATTGTAATCAATATAAAACAAATAGTCAAATAGTTAAAGACTACTTATAGCCTTATAAGAATTAGCTAAGCTGCTAGCTACATACAATGTATTGCACACTTGATGCCTCTGTACCAAAAACATTCAATTTATTGGAACCTAATACACACACTTAAAGACAACAAGTTTATATACCAATTTGTCATTCATAGTACATTTATACTAAACCATGAATAACTATACCTCAATATTAATTAAAGACTGCCACTCAATATATTTAAATATATGAAAAAATAAAAAAAAAATCGAAAAAAATAAAAAAAATCATGATTTTTTTATAAAAAAATCAAGTGATTTAATCACATGATTTAATCATTTTGATTTAATCATTGCCAACCCTGGTATCCACTATACCTATTGATTGTATTCATGTCACTTCAAAGCAAAGTTTTAAATTTTGGCCTTTTTAAACCTTTAATTACTTAAAAAGGAATGTCAAATATTCACACGTCATATTCTTTTAAAATGTCTTTTGGTAACTTGTTTTTCAATATGCCTACAGCAGCAACAAATTTTGTTCAACTTAATCAATAATAAAAAAAAAGCATTCTCTAGTCTTCAATTTCCTTTTTAATTTCAATTCTTCAGACTTACATATGGAGTATATTTAATATAATTTGGATTTCTCCTGTCATGCACAGCAAGTAATTTATGTCAGTGTGTTTTTATTTCATTACCTGGTACCATACAAGTCAGAAAAATTTCCTATGAAATGCTCATAGTTGAATTATCTCCATAATTCTTGACTAATCATTAATGATTTATATATGCTTAAATATTAAGTACAAATTTTTCTAATATTCTAGCAGTACACATATCATTCTAGCAGTAAACATTTAACTTTTCTTATTGTCATCAATTGTCTAGTCACCAGGATGATCCATTATTATCAGGATAAATTCATGAAAGATTTGTCAATTTCATTGTAATTTACTGGTATTATTGTCCATTTTCTTGAATTTGTTTTAAATATTAGGTAAACTGCAACTAAGGCCCTTTCACCTGTCATCATTTTGAATCTGATGAAGTTATTCAAACTGCAATTTTTTCTATTTTATGCCTGGGTGCATAGACCACATAAACCGCATATATATTGTGCAATGCATGTACAAGTAAACCCCATCAATATTGTGCAATGCATGTGATGATGTGAACTCCATATTAGAATCAGTAGGTATTTTGTGGCTGCATTGAATGCAGCTAGCAGCATTGTTGCATAGCTTTATGAGACCAATGTTTTGAAGTCTTGAACCATGAATTTGCAAAAAAAGCCGTGCTTGTAATTGCTTACTGTGTTTTAAATACTATATATAATCATTTGTTTCTGCCATGTCTGATTGCTCTGCTACATCTGGTATTGTATTGTGGTATTTTACTATGTACTATCATAGTAGTACATACTACCATCATAGTGCTATGATAGTACTATGTACTATCTGGTATTGTACTATGCATAGCTAGCCTGCTAGTTCTGGCAGGTATCCTGGTCTGACTATTCTGCTAGGTTATGATTCTACTTGATTTTATTTTATTTATTTATTCACACAGGAGCACACATTACAATGAAAAATAAAAAGAGACATGAAATAAAATAGCAAGGCTTCTAGGTGATGCCCATATAAGCTAAAAAAGCTTTGCATGCAAAACATTAGGTACAAACTCAATTCCAATGATAATAAGATGACGATTAGAACAAATTAATAACTAATTTCTAAAATAATCGAAACCATTAAAAAAAGCCTTAAAAAACTGATAACCAGATGTCATAGTAGAAAAATCAACATAAGAGGCAATGTCAACATTACACTTAATAAAACAGAGTACAACTGTAAACATCTAGCCAAAATGCCTAAAACTTACATAATGATTAAAGTCAAATTAATACTGGTTAAGGATAAAATCACGGTATTTTATTTTTGAAAACATTTTAGAGCAATCTTGTTTGAACTCATCTGGCAATTCATTAAAATATTTGACACAATTAAAATTGGTACTTCTTTTTTCTATTTCTAAACACACTGGTGGTAAGTTAAATTGATCGCCTTATCACTTGTCACACACAAGTCACAACATCCCTTTAGGGAGTAACTTTATTTGCTCATTTAATTGAAACTGAAGAATTTTATTTGATAAGTTTGATTTGAAAATCCTCAGATAATCAGTAATACAATTACTACAGTATTCTAATACTAATCCATGTCAATGTTGAATTGGTGCTGATACCCATTCCACGAATAGGTGCAACATTAATTAGAATCTATTTGGCAATCAAGTTTCCTTATTTAGAAAGGTTCACTTTGTGTTGTTTAAATGATTTTTTCATTACCCTATTTTTAAAATCAAAGACAAATATTTCTAGTTTGCTATATGTATCTCATGTTTCTTTTATTGATTGAAGGTGAACTAGGATGAATCTTTAGTAGGTATAGAAAATGTATTCAGTTCATTTTGTGTTTATGAAGCTATTTTGTAGTCTTGCAACTCTGATTGTTGCATAAAAAAATGACACAGGCTCTAAAGCATACTAGTGCATGAAAGTGCCTAAGGATTTATGTAGTATAATTGCTTAGAGAGCTTTCATAGCAGAATGGAGGACAGGCACATTGCAGAACATTTTGTGGTGGCAGGTCTACCTCCAGATAACCTAGACCTCCTGGAGGAATTCTCATGCGACGGTGCTTCCCTGAAGACTGACCACTCATTGCCACCCATCACTGATATTGGTGTGGTCAACACATCATTGGGAGAAGAAGTCCCTGATGGTGAGTTTGGTTAACAACAGCCAAAAGTATTATGGATGTCATAATAAACCATATTTTTGCAGACTTCTTTCTGACAGAAAGTAGGATTATCAATGTCAATCAAATGCTCATTGCAGCAGTTATTATTGGTTAAGATTGGTTAAGATTATTGGTTATCCATGAATAAATGTGTGCTATGATTTCAAGTCAAATGATATCAGAGAATTTTTATACCACTTGATATTTTTCCTAACAATCAATTGTGTGTATCATTAAGAGAATGATTTTTCCATGCTCTGATAATTGGTTGTAAGTAGATAAAGTATTTTATTGGTCTAATTTTTCAATAAGAAGCTGTATATTCTTATTGAGAATACTAGATGTGGTTATTATGATAATGGCTAGTGCTACATTATTTCAATTGAATATTGAAGTTCATCAAAATTTATGAACAAAAAATTTAACAATATCATTTTGTTGCCCTGAGATATTGTGATGTAATTAGCAAAATAAAATTATAAGAATTATTAATGTTATTATTAATTATAGAATTATTATATTATTGATACTATTATTATAAAATTGATGTGTGGTTCAGTCAAACTTGAAATTTACATGGGTAGTATAATCTGCAATGTATGAAAAATGTATTTGTAGCCTAGTTTGGATCATTCATCCCATTCTATAATAAATTTAATACCTATGTGCTCTTCTGCCAGAAAGTGAATCACTGAAATTGTTTGTGGAAAATTTATTCACCAACTTTTCTTGACCAAACTGCAGGCTACACCCTGATTTCAACTACACCTTCTGGAGGATCAGCCAACCTCAACTTGGGTGTGTTTCGAGCACCCGAAATGTACCTCTGCTACAAGCGGGGAACTCACCAACCTCCTCTTGTTGACATTGGGTTAGTGTTTGTTTACTCGTTAATTCTCTCTTCAGCTTTCTTGTGCCAAGCACTGCGGTAAATTAGGGTCAATTTTACTTGAACTACTTTCTAAATGTTGTAAGTTTCCTAAATATTATCACAATTTTGAAAGCAAGTGTATTCTTCCGAGTGAGAAAATTTCAATTTGTTTTTCTTCTAGGATTACTTACATTATCATTTTCTCTTGTGAATTATAATGATAATGTCTGCCTTATTATAATAAATAATGCCTTCAATATTATAATGATTCATAATATTATCTTCATATTCATTATTGCTACATGCATTGCAGATTTCTGTAGATAGGAGAATTGTCTCTTCTGCCATATTTCTCTTGCTATAATGATTTTCTTATGAACATCTTTAAAACCTCATTAATGTCCTTGAAGTTTAAACAGACTTTATTTACCAATATATACATGATTGTGATTTGGGTTGTGTGGCAAATAACTGAAGAACTATGTACCTATATTTTAATTAATTTAGGAAGTAATTTCCATGCCTGGTGTTCATGTTCAGAGTGTTATATGATGGACGAGAGAAGGTGATGGTGGACTCTCAGATGCTTCTGCCATATTTCTCTTGCTATAATGATTTTCTTATGAACATCTTTAATACCTCATAAGATGTCCATGAAATATAAACAAACTCTATTTACCAATACATGATTGTGATTTGGGTTGTGCAGCAAATAACTGGAGAACTATGTACCTATATTTTAATTAATTTAGGAAGTAATTTCCATGCCTGGTGTTCAGAGTGTTATATGACGGACGAGAGAAGGTGATGGTGGACTCTCAGATGCTTCAGTTCACTGTTGGTAACCACTCAGCCAACATCAACCCACATGGTTACACCACCTACATCACCTACAGGTACTAGTCCATTGTCTACCTTGTGCTGCATCAGCCCTTGGTCATTTGCTGCTGCTGTGTTTTTCCCCTAAAGCTATGGTGGCATATGATATTTAAACTTTGGTTGCATAAATGCTTGGATTGTAGAACAATATGCTGTGAATGGGCTAAACACTTGCTTCTTCATCTGAAACCTAAGTAGGTACTAATTCAAAACTGGAAGATAACATCATGTCTTTGCAGGTTTCTGTCAATTTCTTGTCCACAAGAGGATTGTTTGCTATGCATTTTCATGTTGATATGACCCCTGATAATTCAATTACGTATTTTCCTACGTTTTTGGACTTAATTATAGGTACCTACATATGACTGGTAAAGAATTTAGTTGCAAATCTTCTTTTGTCTCCATCCTGGCCTGTGTAATTTAAACTAATTTTACTTTACTAGATTAATGCTAAATATGAAAAATGAAATAATGTTCATTCTTTAGAATTTTTCGTCTCAACACCAGGAGATGCTGCAAAAATGAAGGAATGTATATTAAATTTGCAAAGAATATTTAAGAAACTATCGCTGATTTCACTATCTGATAAGTTACTCATAAGAGGCAATAAATTGCTTTCCATGACATTCTTATTTAGTAAAGTCACTTTCTAATGATGCAAAAAAATTTTTGGTTGTAAATGGAAAGATGTTTTTTGGTGAATAAAAGGGCAAATAAGTGAATAATTTGTCTTCATTTAGTCTTCTCTTGAAAGTTTTTTTCCAAGTTTAAATAGGTTTGCGTCATCTACATTGCATTATTATTTGCTTTACAAAGTAATTAGCCACAATTTATAAATTTAAAGACATCATTGACAACTTGAATTAAATCATCGTGGACTATTTGTATACGAGGTATTCCATTAATACTTTCCTGATGTTCTACAGACGGTCCAGTCCCGACCGTGAGTGCAATGAGCTCGTGGTGTCCGACATCTGCGTGAAGAACAAGGAGCCTGCACCTCACTCCTTCTGCACCATCGACAGGAACATCAATAAGAATAGCATGGTCAGTAGCCTTCTGTTGCACTGCAATGAAATTGCTGTGCAAAGAAAATATATCACAGCCTGCCTCCAGATTTTCATTGCCTAGACTTGTGTTCTTTATCCTTGAATTGTCTTGGTTTATGTGTGTGTGTGTGTGCTTTTTTTGTATAGCTTGTCAATATAGTGAGCTTCAATGTTATTTATAGCACTTTTTTATTAGTAAAATGGAAGTTTGTTTATTGATTTACCATTGTTACTTTCAGATTCAGCATCTTTTGTGATTCATTAGTAGAGCATCTTGACGCTTGATAAAACACTTCATACCTTTCTTTTCAACTTGAGCTTTTATTTGGTTTTGATTTCAACTTTAGCTCATCTTTTATCTGTTTTACTTTTTTATATGTACCAGAGTTAATAGCATTTAAATTTTTTCCTTAATCTAGAATCATGTGCATTAAATTGGAACTACAGACAGCAAAAAGTAGAATTAATCTGAAATGTGCACTCCACGAATTAATGTGGTGGAATTTCGGATTGAAGATTGATTAATAAATTATGAAAAGATTTGAAATTATTGGCATGTAATATCGCTTCTTGTAAAATTCAAACCCATTATATGTTCAGCTAATGCCTTAAATTTTAGCATTCAAATTATATGGCATGGCTTTCCTGTGAATATTTTTGTAAATTATTCTTGTTATGAGGTTTTCTCTCATAGTTTTATTTCCACCATGTATTTGCAGATGGGTGCAGAAGTTTACATTTGCTACCGCAAGTCAGTGAACCGTCCCACGTACATCGCCTACAAGCCAGCCCTGCTAGACAACTGCTCCCCCACCTCTCGTAAACCTTCCTTCTCTCTGCCCGCCGACCTCGCCCTCTTCTGTGTCCCCATGGGCGCCACGCTCGAGTCGTGGCCTCCTCAAACCAAGGTCAGTTCCTCTAACCCTGGGACTATACTACTCATAACTACTCATAACTCTCAAAAACAGTTATGAGTAGGTAACTCGGGTCAGCCTATCTCTGACGGCTCTTCATGTTAAACTCACCAATCACAGGCGGTAAATCGGCCGCTACATGTCCGTGGGCCGCTATAGTTAGTATTAGATGGTGAAATGAGCGTGTTTAAACACGAGTGGTTAATGACCAGAGAATTCATTGATTTAAATTTTCAGGATCGAACAATATTCGTCAGATGACGTTATTGATCAAAATGCAAGTTTAAGGAAGTAATTGTAATTTATTAACGACGTTTTGAATGTGACAACATTAATTTTTAAATTATACAAGGCATTGAATATAGAAATTTTATTATGGAAATAAGTACATGATTCACGTGTCGTAAATTTTATACAACACGAAATTTTTGAACCGTGAAATTAACTCTGAAACAACGTTAAAGCTTAGAAAATTCAGTAGTTGTAATGAAAATCAGAAAATCCTCACTAATATAGTTTTTGATAAGATTTATTTATTGCCATGCAGGTGCCTGAGCCGGTGTTCTCGACGTTCGTGCTGACCGTGACAAGTCCTCAGAGCGATCAGGTGGACAAGGTCTACTGCGCCGGCGTGACGTTCTACGAACGATACGACCACGCTAAGCTCTCTCTAGAGCAGGCTACCCAACTCAAGCTTAAAGAACACGATGGCTTCAACAATCTCGTCTACACCAACAAAAGCATCTGTTTGCTGTCCCTCTGGCCCTTCTTCGACACTTTCGAAACGTTTCTAAAATATTTACATCAGATGGTGCACTCAGGTCCACATAACGTGCCAATTGAGCGCTACATTTACCACCTCTTGGAGTCGGTGCCTTTCCCTAGTGTTCAGAGGCCGCGGATTTTGGTTCAACTGGACGCTCATACGTGCATGACTCTGTCCTTGCCTGAAGACTCTCCCATTGCCTTGAGCGGGGCTCGGTTTCGCGACCTCATCTCGCTGCTAAGGCCCAATGCGTGCCTTCAGCTTCTCGTCTTCGCTCTCACGGAACAAAAAGTCCTCCTTCACTCCCTGAGACCGGCCGTGCTCACTGCGGCTACTGAGGCGCTTGCCATGATTATATTTCCCTTCCATTGGCAGTGTCCGTACATTCCTCTCTGCCCATTGGGGCTCTCTAGCTTCCTCAATGCCCCCATACCGTTTCTTTTAGGTCTCGACTCGCGCTTCTTCGACATGTATCATCCTCCTCAAGACGTTATCTGCGTTGACCTCGATACCGGCGCCATCTCCATTCCCGAGGATAAACGAGCCATCAACGAGAAGCTACTTCCTAAGCGATGCTCAAAAGCTCTCAAATTTTCGCTAGAAGATCTTTGCACTAAATGCTTTTACCTAGAGAGTTACAAGGAAAGAGTGCTGCACAAGCAAAAACTCGCGGCCGCTGGTAAAGCCATAAATCCTGAAGATTCGCCATTAGATGCCGCATTTAAAATTCGTAGGATGGAGCAAGAGTTGGAGGTTGAAATTCAAGAGGCTTTTTTAACCTTTACGGCAAGTCTCCTGCATGGCTATAGTTCATTCCTCCTGCCTATTGCATCGCGAAATTTGAGCCCTGACACTGCGAATCTCTTCGACATCGAAGGTTTCGTGAAGTCCCGCGACCGATCGTACCAGAAATTCTACAGTATGCTCGTTAGCACGCAAATGTTCAGTAAGTTCATCGAAGAGCGTTCCTTCGTGTCTGACAAAGACGCTTCGCTTGCCTTCTTCGACGACTGCGTAGAGCGCGTGGCTGCCTCCCAGGCCTCAGGCGAGCCCCTGGGACGCCTGCTTGAAGTCGAGTCCGGCAACAGCGAACACACGTTCGTCTTGCCTCCTCCTGAACCTCCTCCCGCCACTGCCCCAGGCACCACATGGTCCTACGACCACTTCCCTCATCAGCTGGACAAGTCGTTACTGAGTCCCCCATCCCCACAGAAGGCAGCCCCGCGACTCATGCCCCCTTCTGGTGCTGGCTCAGTTCACCCACCGTCACCCATGGCGCGTCGCAGTAAACAGGAGTTGCGGTCGGCACAGAAGCAGGCGTCCAAACTCGCCCAGACTCCCCTCACCTGGGCCAAGTGCCTTGTTTCTACCTCCTACAGGTGCCGCTTCGCTCATTATCTTACGATTTCGTTCTGATATTAAATTTTCTCTATGCCCAAGGAAGAAACTACTCTATTCGTTCTGAACGGTTTATTTCTTTTGCAGAAAAGCAAGCTCATGAGTTAATTAGGCTATGAAGACATGCTGTTAACATTGTTAGGTGATATTAATTATTTCATATTAAACCCTAAGGATGGTTTATCTTATCATCTGCAGCGTGTGGTATACTCAGCTATCTTCGTTCGCGCTCACGCATCAGCATGGCAGTCGCGTGCTGCATCTGGCATATCGCGTGCTGCTACACATCCAGAGCCTAGCGCAGCACAACACGGACGAGGTATGTTCTTTTCTAACTACTTTCAGAACTTCATTTCTGACTGCCTTCAATACTAAAGTTCCTACCCCGTGCTTCCAACTCTGTATTCTAAACTCTACTCTCAATTATAGCTCTAATTGACGCTAATTCTGTAATTGACGTCCGTGGGGCTATGTAAATGGCATTCGATGCCATTGCTCATCTCTTGGATTTATTTTAATTGATAGCTTCCAGCGAATCGAGTTCCTAAACCAATCATATTTCTTGAAAGCCAACTTGAAAGCGATTTATTGCGCTATTCCGACAATTGCGTACTTATGTAGCTGCTCATCAGCCCTGTTAACCTCACTTCATTAGCATCGCGATGCAGCTGAGCATCACCTCTCACTCGTCGCTTCTTCTAAATGCATCGCTGCTCATCATGTCGCTGCTATTCTCCATCACTAACATGTATCCCACTGCACAGGTATCATACCGCATCATGATGCAGCTGTGCGGTGTGTACAGCCAGCCAGAGCTCGCCATGCGCGTGTTATGCGCCATGAACACAGTGGGCATCTCTCCCAACGCCATCACGTACGGCTACTACAACAGGGCGGTGCTCGAGTGCAAGTGGACGCACGCCTACCACTACTGGAATAAACTCAGGTACCACCTCGTTGTGTTCTGTCAAAATGCTAATGGCTTTCATTTACACATTGTTCACTGTTGTTTGGTAATTTAACTGCTTGCGGATACTTTCGTACAATTAGTATCTAATTATTTTAATTTTAAATGTTTATTAAATTATTTATTAAGAGGCTATATTTATTACGAAATTAGCCGAGTTTGCTGATTGAAAATAGATCGAAATACCTCATGGTTGGAATCATTGAAAAAGAAAACCGCAGATAGTAAAGTTCATGAAGGTAAAGTTGATGAAGTTAGCTGGTGATGGGACAGTCATTATTATGCTGCAGGGTTCGTTGAACACAAGTCAACACATCAAGTTCTCAGATCGTAATTAACGAATCACTGGTTTTTGAAATAATTGTGAGTGTGGTTGCAGGAACGTGGTGTCGGGCGTCGCTGCATTCCGCAGCAGCGGACGGGATCGCGCAGCCAGGCTGGGCCCTACGACAAGGCGCTCCGAGGGCAGACATAAAGAGGCAGCGCAGGCAGCCGCTGAGGACCACAAGACAGCTGCTCTCGCAAGACAGGAAAAGCCCGAAAAGACTTCCGTGCAGTCAAATGATAGTCGGGACACGTCACGTTCTCGTGATAAACTCACTGGTAAGTTTCATGTTATATGCTTTGTAGAGGCCGATTCCTGCATTCTAGTTACCGGCCGTTGTCTTAAAATAGCGTTACTTGAACTTTGGCGCCAATAAACGTAGGATGTGGATAATTAGGTTTAATGAACACCCTGTGCACCCCGACGCCGTTATAATGTTACTGAGTGATTCACCTGGGAGTGTAAGTGTGAAATTGCCCGCCACTGGAGAGGGTTATTCTCAGTGATTTTGTTATTATGTTTTCCGACTCTTCTGGTGAAAGCCAAATCTATGTTTAGTAATTACCAATCTACGAATCGAATAACGTTAGTATTTATCAACCGACTGATACAGAACCGGACGAGAAATTCAACGGAGCATCCACGAAGCCCTCAGATTCTCACGATGTCGAGACCAGAGATCCCTTGAGTGCTGAAAGTGAGGGCCTCGCGAACTTTGCTTCCAAAGACCCGCTCAATATCAGCAACAGCAACTCTCCTGCAGAAGCTGCAGGTCAGTACCTCGCTGCTTGAGGTTGCTTCCTGACAACTGATTAGGAAACGCTGCGTGCTGTAAGGGAAGTTTGCATATAGTCAGCTCGCTTGATTTACCCGGTGCTGGTCAGTCTATCTCATTCTGATAAGTATTGTCAAGAAATGATTGCAGCGAATGACGACCATAATTGCTGTGAGCACTTTGATATTCATGGAGTCTCAAGCTTGTCGATTAATCTGCAAACACTTTACAGATGCAAATTTCGTAGTAAGTTCCACATTTATATAATTTTTTTTAATTTGATGTTTGCTTGGGGTGTTCCAGAGCGAACTGGCAGTTATAAGAGTCGTCTCCTTGTCTTGGAGAACTTGTTAGGCGTGGCTTTGTGAATAGAGAGAGTGGATGTTCGATGGGTTTGTTGAGAATGGGAAAGCGCGTTCTGCATGAGCTGTGCGAGTCTGTTTCGGTTAAAGAACTTTACATGTAATTTGAGTTGATTCTTTTGTCGTAGATTATTATGAAAATTTTTGTGGAACATGTTATAACTTGTCTAATCTTTCTTGTTTGAGCTTGTCTTTCTTTCTTTAGAAGAACATTGTAAATTTGTGTCCGGTTAATTTGTATTCGTGGAATTGTGTAGTCTTTTGAAATCATTTTCATGTTTATTACTTGATAAATAACTCTGATCTTTTCGAGCGGAAAAATCACAGTGAATATTATGACTATTTGGTATTACATGCAAACTTATCTCGTTTAAAGTTAAACCTATAAGATGAAAGTTTCAATTATAATCAAACCTCTCGAATAAGAAATAAGTAAGCTACGTGGTATTCCATCTTCCTGCCGAAGTGTTGGTTTGTTCTGCCTTCGTGCCAATTGAATTGAACGTATCCTCCATGCCTCATAAGCGCCATTTTTTAGCTTGTATGTTTGCTTTGTGGAGTTGTATTCAAAGTTGCTTCAGTACGTATGGCAGTGCATGAATCCAGCTTCCGTTTGTGTATCAGCGAACGATGTATTTGATTTGGTAACCCTGTAAGCAAGTAAATGTCCTCAACTAAGGCGAACTTTTCCGTGTTTAAAGCTTGGCATTACATGTGACCCTTGTCTTTGCATGAGATTAATATTGAATTGCTTGTTTTAATTTCATATGGTTTGTTATTATTCTAATTGTTCAGTTCAGCGAACGAGGCTGCAAAGTTCATAGTTATTATTAAAAAAAGACTTACGTGATCCGTTTTCCCTCCTCGATTCCAACCCCTTCTGCTTCCATCCCCGCCACAAACTACTTCCCTGCCCCTGCTGCATCCGCTGCTGCTTCGCTCCAAGTTTGGTTGAACTTCTCGCATTATCTGGACCCTGTTTCCGTTCCTCGAATTCATCTTTTCTTCGATGGTTTGCCTATCCTGGAATTCTGCTACGAGATGTGACGCCGCTTCGTGTGTTCTGGCCGCCCTCATGGCTGCTCGTGCCTCATGACTGGGAATATTGATTCCCTGATCGTTCTGGACTACTGGAGGATTTACAGACTCTTCAAGCCTTACTGGCACAGACGCTGACCTCTGCCAATCCTCTCTAGCTACTGAAGAAGAAGAACCTCCAGCCATAGCAGTGGAAGTGAAGAGCGAGAGCCTAGGAGACCATGACAGGTCCTCAGGTCACTCCAGGGCTGCAGTTACAGACACCAACGCGAGCTGCAGCTCTGAGGTCTCGGACGACATTCGTCTGGCGTGCGTCATGGCCTCCACCACGCTGCCGGGTGAGTGACTTGCCTGTGGTTTCCTCGGCACGCCCACGAGACTCGAGTTCGGGCAAGGCTTTCTTCCAAAGGTGGTCTATCTCTCCTATTTACTTTAACCTGCCTATAACTACTTTATTTAGGCTTTTCGCTCATTTGAACTCCCTCATGGCCTAGCTTATTTAGGTCTCAACTTTCTAGTGACGTAGATCTCAACGTAGATTCTTTGGTCTCAACTTTCTAGTGACGTAGATCTCAACGTAGATTTTTAGGTCATAACTTTCTAGTGACGTAGATCTCAACGTAGGTTTTTGGTCACAACTTTCTTTTGACGTAGATCTCAACGTAGATTTTTTGGTCATAACTTTCTAGTGACGTAGATCTCAACGTAGATTTTTTGGTCATAACTTTCTAGTGACGTAGATCTCAACGTTGGTTTTTAGGTCATAACTTTTTTTAACGATGATAGCTAGTTCAGATAGCTATAGTGACGTCAGCAAATGGCGTCTCGTGTTCGCAAATGGTTATTGTTTATTTACTATTTACTGCTAAGCGTTTGAGACTACTAGTGTAGATGAGGCGAGTCGTGGCTTGTGTCCCTTCTTCCCTCACTTGACAGTCTCCTGCAGAGCTGCTTTCCACCTACAACAAAACCTACTCATTTGTTTGTTTGTTTCATGCATGCTACACTCGTACTGTTGAATTTTAAATTGCTATGCATGATCTGCCCGACCTCAGTTCGCAACCAAATTACATTTCCTGCTTCATCAGACTCCATAAGATCATGATATAATAATTAGTATTTATTTCCTTTGTTCGCTTCAATCTTCTCAAGGACGCCGAAAGTTTATAAATTTTACGTAATTTACCTATATCAATTTTGCCATTGTTTTTATTCATCTTTTACCATCCCGAAAATCTTCTGAATCGCAAGAAGAGCTACTGGCGGTATACTAGCTACGGAAACGCATTGGATACGGAAATCTAGAGTTTTAAGATAGAAATTCTGGGAGACTAAAACATCTAATCTAAAAGTAATGTTACAACCCTAAAAATGATAGTTAACGAAATCTCACACATACAAACGCTCTTAACATCCTTGTTTGTTAACGAGAGTTGTAGTTGCTGTTCTGCATATTGTTCAAGCTTCTGTCGTACGTGGCTTTGAAGAGATCATCTTTGATAAAACAGCTTTGACTGAAGTGTGCGAATGAGAGGAATTGTCAAGGTGCTTACGTCGTACTCTGTCCTTCTATGTACCTTCCTTCCGCTCTTTATATTTGTTCTGGGACACTTTAACGGTGATTAAAACTCATGCATATATCCAGATATTTGTCTACTCCCACATCGCGCTCTGTCAGATTCTCCTTAACCCTCTACCGCCTGACGTGAGTAACCGAAGCAACAAGCTATACTCCCCAAAAAGGATACGTTCTAGTGAGCGCAAAATGACTTGCACTGATGGTTGCCGCACGTACGACTACTTTAAAATGTTCTTTGTTGCGTACAAACGTCTTCAGGTTGCTACACTCAATAGTTTACGTGTAATTTAAGTTCAAAGTTATGTTTCCGGAGAGTGACATGCGGCGGTAGAGGGTTGCACAGTCATCTGATGAACAAAGATGAGCCTGGTGGTACTAACGACTCACATGACTCTAATGATCACTGGGCGGTCACTCTTGCGCGATGTTCAAATCATCCGCACTTCTCTGTTGGCGTCGCACCGCCGATCGCTGCAAGTGTGGGCGCTGTATTTATGGTGTGACTCGAGTCTTTATGGTTATAAGATGCGATTGCTTCATTGCGAATATGGATCTTGCATAACTAACTTGCTGTTTTCAACTGCCTATCCCTTTCATTTTAATTTTAGTTGAAAAAACAATGACCAAAATCGCGTCTGTACAAATAAGCCGTTCGCTTCCGTTTATTTATATATATTAGTTAAAACGGGGAACTTCAACTTTTCTTTCATATAAAATAAAATTTTCAGAAAATAATGCCGATAAAAATTCAATACCTAGTTTGCTAACATGTGTGTGTCAGAATTGCATCACCGTTGAAAAATTTCATTGAAAAGTTAATTTATTACTGTTCAGTGTGGGTGTTAAATTTGTTATCAGTTAATTTTGTTCTGTGTTACGACTGTGCAAATTAATGTACGTCAAAGGATTCTTTACTTCATCTATTTTAATTATTTTTTAATTCCAACTTCACATTTTGAAATTTTGTAATGTTTAATTGCTTAGTTATTTTTAACCAAATTTTTTTTACTCTTCTTACCATTGTTAAATTCTTTAAGCAAACTGGTTGATGACTCTATATTCCCTTATACATTTATGTTGTGTCTTGTGTTTCATTTTCATCTCAGTGTGTGAATTTATTTATTAAATATAACTCTGGAATACTTGATACACTTTACTTTGTTTGTAACTGTGTTGCTTTCTGACCGTATGTGTGTGCCACAGCTGCCCCTGTGTTAACTCCTTCTATGTCTCTCTCGCTGCTGACGATCTTTACTGCGGGCCTGCGATGCTGCTCTTCTGGTTTGTATGAACTCTCCTGCTGCTTGTCGTCGTCATCCGTTCCTTTATTTCCCTTACTATCACCCGTGCGCAATAAACCGGGTGGCCATCGAATCGATCACTTTTTTGAAACTTTTTTATCTTTGACACTCTGCTCCCTCCATTTCGGTTTTCTCCCTCATTTGGAAGGTTTAACTTTGGCTCCTGAGTTTTTTTATATTTTTTAAATGTTGTACTATCAAGCTAAATTATGAGATATTTTCCTGACACAACCAAATGTTCGTATCAACATATCTAATACGCCTTCAATTGAGTAGCTTCGGTAAACTTGAGTAAAAACATCCACTGTACCAACGATACTAATCTGAAAGTTAGCGCAGAAGCAGAGAAGTTTGCTCTTGATCAGATTCGCAATGATTATATCCTAATAGCGGAACATAAAAGTGGAGTTTGCAAGCAGTGCACTGGCCCGGAGAGTGATGCTCCTATCGCTGCCAGAAGCGCTGTCTGTAGCAACGGTCCATCGTCTCCAGCTTGTGATGGCGGCTGCACATCAAATTGTGTGCCTAGTCTGCATCTCCTAGAGTCATCCTCTTCTAAGCTAAACTCAAACAAGTCTTCCACGTCATCAGGACTCTCGTCGTATCAGTCACCCAGCTCCTCGCCCGTGACACCGGTCACTCCTCTGTGCAGTTCCCTGTTACCCTCGCCGTACCCCCAGAGTGAAACACTACAACCGGTCAAGTGGTCCTCATGCAGCCACCATCGCCTACTAGAGACGAAGCTTCCGTCTCGAGGGGATCAATCCCAGGAGTCTTCTAAAGATCTCGAACAAATTCTACTTTCTTCAAAAGAAGGCGTATTGTTACCAGAAAAATTAGCCTTCTCTGTTTGTTCTAATTCGAGCGAGGGATGCGTTGTTAGTGAAAACTGTGAGCAAGAAAATTTCATGCACGGTGCTGGTAAAACCTCTTCTGATGACAATGAGGGCGTGAGATGGAACAGCTGTGACCGTAACTTAGTGGCTGATCATATAAAGATAAATGATTTATACTCCACTCAGCTGTCGTCATCTACTAGTAAAAATTCTAGGCAAGAAAACGATATTGAGCCTGAGCTTTTAATCTATGAAAATAATGGTTTAACTAGAAACCTACATGAAGTTGACTCGTCGGTCAATAAGCTCACCACCAACATACCGCCGCTAGACTTCGCTCCGTCCGATCGACTGCGAATGCAACTTGGAAGCATTGTTATCAACACCCGCGTCTGCCTTGCCAACGGCGTCAGTCTCTCTAGGATTGAGACTCATCATCTCTGTGAGCGTTCTTCATCCCTTTTGATTTAGTGTTAGTTCACTGAATTACAATGAACCATTCACTCGTCTCAGCCTGACGTAATGTCATCACATGCCTAAATCAGTTTAAAGTTCTGGAAGAGTCTCAATTTTACATATTACATTCTGAACTCGTAAACATCAAAGCTCTTTGTCGATTTTTTTCATCGCAATTCTTCATTTGCTAAACAATACCTGCTCCGTATTGGCATGATCTGTATCAACTGTTACCTACCCGTCTTAATTTTGGTGGGCTCATTTGATCGACTTTCCCTGAGACTTCACTTGTTCCTTTATGAATTTTATTTCTGGAAATGATATCCACTGCGTATGGATAGAGACGCCCATCTTCCATTATCTTGCACATTTGTATATATGTAATTTCTTTTCTTTGCTGAACATATACTTTGCTTGCTTCGGTCTATTTTGTGACTTATGTGACGAGTGGTACATCGCATGTCTCCACGCACCTTCCTTGACGCGATCTTTGAACTATTATAGTAACAGAAGTTGCCCGCTGATTTGACTAGGCTTCTTGTTGCATTCCATTCTTCTGACATTGGGAAAGCAGTGTCAATCCGTTGAAGAATTAGTCAATTTTTCCTCCGCACTCGTGCCATCATTCCACCTTTTCAAAGGTACTGCATTGGATCGAACATTTTATTCTTTATAACCTTTGTGTTTTCTTCAATATCTCACAGAACTATGGAATTTTTTATACTATCTAGTTGTTAAACTGTGTTAGTTCTTGGTACTACTTTCTACTTGTAATGTAACCCTTGTAAGAATATTTCATCATTTTCAGAATATTGGTTACATACATTTGAGCACATGACATAAATGTTTATAGTGGGGCTGGTTCACCGGTAGTTCTGTGATCGTTTACCAACGGCGCTAAATGCCAGCTTCTTGACAATCCTTTCACTTTTACTTTCGATTAGATCAAAATGATTTAATTGAGATCTACGTTCTTCTAGATTTTTTCTTCTTGTTGTCTTCTTCAGTTTAGTGTATTGTTGTCCTTTAGTGTATTGTTGTCATAGTGGAAGTCGGATTCGACGAAATTTTTCGACGCCCCATAGGTGTAATGATTGCTTCGATAATCGAGTATTCTCTGTAGAGCATGAAGCTGAATTTATGTGCCAGACCTTTTATCGCTTCTCCAAAATTTACGAGTGGCATGGATTAAGTGAAACGAGTAGCTTTTACCACATTGAAATGGGTTAAAGAGTGGCTACTGACATTCCCGTGATGTAACCACTGCCACTGACTTTCATTTGCATGGCTACAGTTGTCCACTCAGCGGGCCTTGTGATGACGTCACCGCTGGACGACGCTGTGTTCCAGCCTAGCCAGCGTCATCGCTCTCGCCCCACCGACCTCGCCCACGCGCTCACCCCCACCCTCCGCAAGTCAGAACCTCGATTTACCTTCATAAGTGTTCAATGCTTGAATGCATTTTAATAGGTCGCGAATAAATAATATTATGTGTAATAAACTTTATGTTTCACTCTGAAATATACAGAGTTTGATTGTGTTTGTTTCGTGCTATCAGTTACGACCAAATGAGTGAACCCTCCGTGCCCCGTTCCTGCGAGCACTCCAGCAACATGCCTGAGTACCTGAGGTGAGCGTCCGACCCTTCCACCCTATGCAAAGTGTGCTCTCTTAGTTTACGAAACACGACGAGGCTGCTCAATTTTGATAGGTCACGAATAAATTATATTTTATAACATTTTCGTAAACAATAACCGAGTAAACGATGAATGAGTGGAAAAATCAAACCATTTTTCTGATTATAATTTGTGCTTAAATTACTTGTGACCTTAGAAGTGGCAGCATAACAGACGACCAACATAACTCCTAACCTGTCCTGCAGATCCTGTTCCTAGCTTCTCCAGCGCGCGCGTTCACATGCCTCGTTCTGTCATGAACCTCTTTTTATTTCTTTTATTTACAATAATTGTAATCTAAGTTTTATAAGTTTACGACTGGCATATAATTTATTTTCATGCAACAAAACTTTGGAATGCTACTTGATTTAAGACCATAATTTTGCATTTGATAAAAAACGACCTATATATGTATGTATATACGAATGTGCATTTATTTCTATATTTTATTGCGAATAGATGTTTGCCATTGAATTTAGTTGCGAGCATTGCCACTGCTTTTCTTTATTAGTTTTGGTATGCTGCGTTCGTTCGTTCATTTATTTCGTTTGTTCTGTTGAGCTGAGTTTATTTTGAGTTGTATATGTATGAGGAGGCATTGTATGAGTAGTTTAGTGGCCTGTGTTAGTAGAGCTGCCCGCTGCAGTCTCGCCCAACACCCTGCATGCTGTCAGTTCAACATCCTCATTTGCTTCCTACCGCTTGGATCTCCTCACTAGCACGACGGTGTGACAATATCACGTCTTGTTTTGAATATAGAACATTTAAATATTCGTATTCAAATATCTATTGATATTTATTAACTTTCGCTACGGAAAAGCTGAATATGGTGCACCTCTGTCCGAGACTGTGTAACTCAATCGAGAAGCAAAAACTAAAGCGGTTTTGTTCACATTTGCCTTACGGTCTTACCGTTGTAGCAGGACTTCAAGTTGATACGGTTAGTTGTCTGTAATCTATTCAAGTATTGGAATGTAGATAAACATTGAGATCAACTTATTGCAATCTGATTGTGTTGTACAGAGTGAGCGCTTCAACTCTTGCTAGATCTAACGACGAATTGGCCCATCTAGACGTCGGTGCTAGGAGGTGTGGACAGTTGCTCTTCAACTGTTAAACATTAATTTGTGAGCAAGGACTTTGGTAATAAGTCTTCTAATCAAGGCAGGGTGTCCGGGTTAAAAACAAGGGTCTTTGCCGAATTATTTGCCGGAATTGTAATTTCTTTCCCTGATAGAAAAATGGCTTTGTTGTTTGTTGAGTTGTTGGCAATTTCTATCACCTGAGTTCAAAACCCGTGTCTACTTGCTCTACGCTTTATTTTTTGCTGCATGTTATCCCATCTTAATAATACAGTTGAGGCTCCGTGCCTGCATTGAGCTGTCGTCTGTTGTGCAAAACTTGCGAGAAAATGAGTGAGCTATTTCAGGCAGTTTTATATCTCCTAATTGCTCAATATGTTACACGAAGTTGAATGTTGATTGTTGTTAAGAGACACTAGAAGATATCCATTACTTACTCCCAGTTATTTTGTTTTCTAAATGTTTATATAAGTTGAGGTCTCTGATCTTGCTTGATGGAAAATTAAGGTGGTTGATTTTGTTATTATACCCTTGATTCTCACGCGAGTGTTCAAATTCTGTCACAGGTTAATATTGCTCGAAAGTCTTTGCTATATTTGAAATTGGGATAAAGGCTAGGAAGTGTTGAATCTGCTTCTGGTCTGTTTCAATGAAAACGGGGAAGATTCGGCCCGTTCGTGTAAAGATAACGTATAAAGTCTCCCGAGTTATAAGGTTAAAAAGAAATTAATGCAATCAATAAGTTTTTTGGTGAAGTCCAAGTAGGTATCGAATTTTTTTATCGGGGCTTCGGTTGAAGAGAAAAAAATTGCTCAGTTCATTGGAATGAAAGTTGAAGGGCATTCTTATCAGATAAAGTTCTCAAATCGAGGGTTATATTGTAGAGTTGTATCAGTCGGTACACTTTTCGGTAGGTACCAAGATAGATCTTTCTCTCGCTTACGCACCTATATACGGAACAATGATAGATGTTGTGTGTATACCAATACTGCTCAATCTTTCTTTACATTTAGTTGAGGTTGAGTGATAATGGAGGACCGCAGGGTTTGCTTCACCTTATCTTTCTAGATGCATTTTATCTGTAGGTTATTTCGTGTAGATTGACCTCAAGCGTTTTTTAAATAGGGAAGAAGCTCGCGATTTTACGAATATACACATTCTCTGTTAACATAGATTTTTTAATTCAGGTGTCGAATACCGTTATATATGGCTGCTAGCTTTTGAGTATTGTGGTGGCTTATGGTTCGAAAAAGTTGAGCTAAGCCGTTCGTGGAATTTTTACATAACGCCTCATGGTCACGTCACAGAAACGCACAAACGGGTGGCGACGGCAAGATCATGAACCGCTTGTGGTCTCTGGCGTCTTCGTACATACCCACTGCGTACGTAGACTCGAGCTACACCACCCCAGTTAGCAGCGTCAACAACACCCCCAAGCGCGCGCCTCCCAAGCGAGACGGTCTTGGGGAACGTTGGGAACGCTCCATTGAACGCTGGGACAACTCCCCTAAGATGGCTCGAAGCCGCGAGAAGATGAGCTCTCAAAACGGAGGCAACGTCAAGCGCGACTTGAGTGGTTCAAGAAAATGTCACGTACGGTCTGACAGCGGAAGCAGTCTTGGTAGTTTAGGTGAACTCAATACCGGGCCCGCGGAAGTTCCTGGTGCTAAACCTTTGCCGCGTGAGAACAATGTCTCTGCTGCTGTTAAGGGAACCTGCGCGATGGAGTCTGGACCTCCCTTACACGCCTCTCATAATGGAACTGTTGCTGTTAGATGTGGAACTGCCAAGACAGAACAGTATGAAAATAATTGTGACGTCGGAAGGGAAAAGGCGGACGGAAAGAGTCCGAGCGATGATAGTTTGAGCGCCATAGTTGAAGAAGATTTATCTGCTCAAAATGGCGGTCAGGCTCGTAACTTTTTCAGTCGAAATGCACCTGAACGGTTATCCAGCCTTTTCAAAAAAAGCGTTGGTGGTGCTGATGAAAAACTGAAAGGACTATGGCGCCGAGGTGTCACAAGATCTGGTAGCAAAGACTCGATGAAATCAAACCCTAGCTCAACTGGCTCTCCCTCACCCGTGACAACACCTGGTTCGGAAAAACCTGTGGTCGGGTCTCCCTCCGCCAGCAGCGGGGGCACGCCTGCACGAAGTCCCAAGAAGAAGAGTCCGCAGACAGTGTCGTCCTCCAAAAGCAGCATGCGCCTCACTAACTCCTCTACTGACAAGGAATTGTTTTTGAAAGGAGAACAACCTAGGCTATTCCAAACTGAGTCGCCTGAACAGTACGAAACTCCTCCGACTTCTCCTTTGAAATCAGCGTGTGTGGCACCCGAACCGAAATTGCCGCCGGAGCCAATAATAGTTCCTGTGGCTCCTGGCCGACACGAAGTGATTTTGGGCGATCCTTTAGGCGCACTCGACAGTCCTACAAATAGTCCAAGCACTTCACCTAATATGCCCACTAGTTTATCATCGTTTCAGCTTTCAGCAGATAAAAGTAGTCACGATTCAATTCTAGTCATAGAAGACGACCCAACTTTACGTCCTGCTGCCATATTGAACCACGCTAGAGCATCTCAGGCAACCGGGCTGAGTTATGATCTCAATTTACGTGTGTCCACTGTAAAAAGAACTGTTCTACCACCTTTATCAAGTCGCGAAGATGACGAACAACCAAATGAATCTCGCGAAGAATTTTCAGACCCGTTGTTGCACCCTCCTCGTAGTGATCCTCTTCCTCAATCGTCATCGTCATCTTCGTTATCTCTCTCGAGCGAAACCGCTACTGCTCAAGTGCAAACGATTTCTTGGTCGATTTCTCCACTTGGATCGCCATTTTCTGTGCCTATTCCTATACCTATGAATAATACTCAGCGCTCGGCCACCATACCTAGGTCTTCTGCTGAGCCGAGCTCGCCACTCAAAACTCTGCCTCCTCTCGCTCCAAAGACGCCGAACCATTCGACTCAATCTTCTGCCACGGTATCTGGACGTCTCAGTCGCAGCGTTCACCGGCAACTTCTCCAACAGACCGACCTCAAGGGGAAAAATGTTAGAAGTAGCAGCACAACCTCGAGTTCCACGCCGTCGTCCGACTACACTGAAACAGATGGTCGAGAAGACGTTCAGCAAAGAGGACGCAGGTCCAGCATTGGAGGAGGGAGCTCCAACATTGCTGGCAGGACTTCCAACTCCTTGACATCTCTGTCGACCGTGTCTGCGTCTGACACCAGCGAGGACGGATTATCTCACCGCGGTCACCGCAGACGAGGAAGTGACCTGGCTTCTCGACACGCTGCCACCTTAGAAAGCAATTACACTCCATCTATGTGGTCACAGTTCAGGTATTCCTCATTAATAGTTATTTATTCTCTAATGACATGTTTTTTTGCAACTTCCTCTTCTTACCTCCTGGTTCTTGTCTCTGGGATTTTGGGACTTGCAACATTGGCTGTCGACGAGTCTTTTCTCGTTTTTAGTAATTAAAATCATTGTTTGGCATCGACAATGATTTTCCTAGGAACTTTTTTCTTCATGTCAAAACGTATGCCATGTACATTTTTTTGCATATCGGTCGTTCGATGACTTTCGCTTATTGCTTTCTGCTGAAACTCGGTAATGGCTTCTGCTGATTCAATTTTCCATATTTTTTGTCTTATCTGCTGGGATCTCCTGTAGCTCATGTTTACCTTAATGCGTTTGAACAGCATGCTGTGATGGGGTCTGCTTTATTTCCTCTGTTATTTACTCTTCAGCTCCAAAATGCGGATGAAAATTCGACTAATATATGTTTAGTAACTATACTTTTTACATATGATATGAAATTATTTATATCTGAAAATGATGTATACGTGATTTATGCTGTATACTTCGATTCCAGGCTTCCGCACCTCAGATAAAATTTAATTTCAGACAATGACTGTCAACTTTTTGAATCGTAATTCCGGTATAAAGCGCCTTTCTACAGTTTTTGTAGCAATTATTTTTGTTTTCATTCATTAATTAGTAGCTCTTGAAACAAGCTAAAAAACAATTGATATAAAAAATTAGTTGAGCGTCGGTACTCAAATTATTGACACCGTGATCGTTGTATTACCCTAAACCTCTCAATTCGCTCCACATAAAATCCTCGTGGTTTTAGGCTATGAATTAAATGGAGTGCTTGCTGTCGCACTTATAAGCTGAAACTAAAACTCGTCTCGTGTCGGCTCTTCGTTGCTGAATGACATTCAGGTTTTCCTCCCATTAAAATTCATCTCGTTACTCGTTCATGTTAGAAAGAAAAACAGTGATGCGGGTCTGAAAACTGCTGGAATTATTGACATCATTCCAATGTTCTATAATTGAACGAGTTTAAGAGTCTTGCTATATATATATAGTTGATGTTTGCGTCTATCGTTGGTGAAGCTTGTGGCAAACGTGAGCTTTTTGCATGGATTTCTTGTGACGTGAGGCGTTTAGTTTAGGTTTATGCTTGTGCAGATCTTCATCTGCCCCATTCATCGTTAATGAATACAAATACTTCATTAAAAAGCATAACTGTTCATGCTTATCTTTTGCTTCTTTGATTTATTATTACTTCCGCACTACGTTGCATCGTTCGCTACATCTCGGCATTCATAGTCACATAATAAATTTGCCATGGTAATACTGTTATGATTATTTCTGCTGTATGAGCTTGAGTTCATTACGTGCTGTACAAGCTCATACTGCGATGAAAAATTGTTGACTTGAAGCATGTTTTGGCTGTAGCTTGTGGATAAATTAGCCTGTTTTCACCTATCACCTCTTTTTTTGCTAGCACCTACTCAAAGCCATGTTGTGATGAAGCTTAAATCAGCTACTCACGGTTAATTATTTTGCTTTCCTTTTGTATATGTAATTTTTACATTGTAATGAATTCTACACTCAGATTATGTTTTGCGATGGCTTATTTCTGGTTGAAATTTTTGTACATGAAATATTTCGTTGATCATTTATGCTTGATAAGTTTTATTATATATTTTTTTCCAAATTCCGTTCAGTCCTTTTTTTCAAAACTTGTAAGCTATTGAACATTTGATTTTCAAAAATGATTTTATAGTATCGATGTTCGTAGCGTAGCTCCAAGTCTTGCCAGTACTGAATAGTTTGTTTACGTCATGTGTTGTGTTTGTGGAGGTAGCTTGTCTTTATGAGCTGTAATGACTCTGGCTTTGCCTTCATCGTATGACCAGCGACCAAAGCCAGCACAGCGCCGCCCTCACCAGTCTCGCTAACACTGGCCTCCAGAAACTTGGACACTTCAGGGAGAATTACTTGGACTCCGCCATGTTTGAACTGCTGGGGTGAGTAGCGTCGCCATGTCTGAGCTGTTGGGGTGAGTGTCCCCGTTATGTCTGGGCTGCTGGAGTGAGTAGCGTTGCCATGTCTGGACTGCTGGGGTGAGTGTCCCCGCCATGTTTGAACTGCTGGGGTGAGTGTCCCCGCCATGTTTGAACTGCTGGGGTGAGTGTCCCCGCCATGTTTGAACTGCTGGGGTGAGTGTCCCCGCCATGTCTGGGCTGCTGGACTGAGTAGCGTCGCCATGTCTGAGCTGCTGGGGTGGAAGACCTCACCATGTCTTATCATCAGGATCGACTGGAGTGCACCACAATGTCTGACTTACAGACATTACTGCGGCGAGGTCATGCGTATATGAGCCATCAGCGTCTAATGCAAGGTTGTATTTTTACTACTATTTAAGGTGGCATCATGGTATCGCATCATGATTGGAGTAGCTATGCGTGTGTTGGTACAGACATTCAGTTATTTACTTATGTGATTGCATGTCCCTGTCTGCAATTCGTCCTGTGCAAATTATTTTCTTTCGCTTTGCATCCAAAGCTTGCGGCTTCTGTGTACGCATTCTGCATCTTAGTTAACTCTCCCATTTTTAAACGTGAATCATATAGACATTTGTTGAAATAAAAATCTAGTTTTGGTTCGGTATCCCTTTATTTGAAACTGATAGAGTTTCTTCTCTTGAAGTTACTGCGCTTTTCTCATTAACTGTTTCCTATCAAGATCAGATCAAGAAGAAAATTCATTCTATGCCAATCCAAAGGCTCGCGTATTATATTCAATTAAAGTGTAGGAATGCGTTTTTGTTGCTGCCCTGAGCTGAGACGATACTTGTATGTCCACCAGCTCCGGGGGCTTGTCGGGACGCAAGAGCGAGCTGTTCACGGGGGGCATGAACAGCTTCAGACGCGTAAGCAGCGCCGTGTCCTCCATCATCTCAAAGAAAGTCCGGCAGTCAATGTCTGCCAACAACACCCCGACTAGGGCGGGGGCCATCACTGCTTCTGGAGGCGCTTACGGCTCTGCGTAAGTAGCAAACACATTTCATTTTTTTTTCTCGTTGTCGAAGTCTTTCACTGCACGGCTTCTTGGCACGGCTTTGGAGCTAAAACGAGGTAGAAATATGATTCTCATGTCAGCGATGAATTGTCTGAATCATTTAGTAGCATTTAAGTTGATTATTGTGTTTTAGTGGCATTTGCTATTTTCAATCCGCGCCAGTACCACCGGCTCTTATTTTAGTCCAACTGACGGTAATGGCGTGGAATTTATACATATATTTTCTTAGCTGTTCCCGGTCTGATTCAGGTGACTTCCTCTGATTTGGTTCCTTAAAGACGAACATTTTTGCTTTACGACTTGTCCAGCATTTTTATTGGAGTTGGTTATGGTGTTATAGGCCTATAATTTTATTAGTCTTCTATGAGGAGCGCCATTGTTTGACGCGTTAAATGCACGGAAACATATTTTCGATGAAGTCCAGAGCCGCTATTCTCGTCAGCTGCAGAAGAAACGCTTCTTTGCTCGAAATTTGTTTGTGTAAAAAAAACTAAATTATTAGTGCCGAGACTGATACGGGCTTTGGAATTTGAACAGCTCTGCAGGGTTATAAATACAAATATGACAAATTTAAAACGAAAACATCAGATTCATATTAATCAAGTCAATAAGATACTATCATGATTGATTTACGTTAAATGTCGAACCTCTATCCAGTGAAACCGCTTTACACATTCCTTAGCTGCTTAGCTGCTTCTCGTTCGCGACTACCTAGATTCAGTGATTATCATTACGCTGGACGTTGCAGCAAAAGTTACTGATGTTGTTGACTTGTGCAGGATAGACGCCATCAGCTTACCCGCGCCGAGCTTTTTCGGGAACTGGTAACTTGGAACAGTTGCGTGTGATTTGGTTTTCCGTCTTGTATGTTTGGTTTTATGTTTACACATTTCTGATTTCAATGTTGCGGTCTGAAGTCTTGTTTTCCTTGATTTTCTTAACAGTTACCAGGTTTTTTGGAGGATTCTCGACGTGTTGCCTACTTGTGTTATATGACTGAACCGATTTCTTTTATATAGGCACTGGCATGTGCACTCATTTCTTGAATCGCCATCGTTTTTGTGTGAGCTTTCTTAGATTTTACCGAATTCAGCTCCAATTATTGAACTGAAAGAAAACTGCAGTTACTAATTACTATGTTGAACGCTACGGTTTTTAGTGACATTAACGCCTGTGTTCTAGAATTCACCTCTCAATGAAGGGCTGTTTATGGACTCTAGGGCCCATTCTGAAGCATTTCATGCCTCAAACCCTGACACTTTTTTAGCAATGAAAAATCATCGTGCATGTTATATATTTTTTATCGCGAATTTTTCTTGAAAATAAAATTTAGAAATTTCGAGAAGTGATAAGAAATTTTAGCCACATCCAAATTTCGAGCAACTGAGTGCCAGCCTTGGTTGTCACTTTTTTCAAGAGCGAAAGACAACACTTCAATATTCTTCGTCAAGACATTCATGTTTAATTTCACACGCGTTAAATCGATGGTATATGTGGTTATTTAGGCTAAAGGTTAGTAGACGAATATAAAATCACGTTTATTATATGACGCCTTGGGACCACGATTGAAGAGCATCAAAGGTACGATGAACGGCTAAAATGGGCTGAATGACTCCGCTGTTACGGAAATCTAATCTTGAAATATTTCGTTTGTTTTCAACTCTCTGCATGACGGGGAATAAATGATTACTCATTAACAAATATGCAGACATGATTTAGTTGGCATTTGTTTATCTTTAGATTTTTTTGTATTTTTCCATATATCAGTCAGGCCTCAGGGGTTGGCATAATAACGTTTGCCGAGATTTTCGTTCACATTGTGATGTTTTGTGAAACGTTGGTTTGCTCGAGTCTGTTTCATTCATGTGATTATATGTGTGGTGCGGCACTATGTTGAGTATAACGCATACCATCATCAGATACCATAAGAGTGTGTGCACACTGTCACTAAGCAGTAGTGTGTGGCACACTCGTCAGTCGTGTATGACGCACTCATCAGTCGTGTATGACACACTCATCAGTCGTGTGGCACACTCGTCAGTCGTGTATGACGCACTCATCAGTCGTGTATGACACACTCATCAGTCGTGTATGACGCACGCATCAGTCGTGTATGTCGCACTGTGACTCATCAGTCATGTCACTCAGGTGGCGCAGCGTCGACGCAGGCGAGGACGACGACGCGCTCGACGGTTTCTTCAGCAGCCGCAGGAGGGAGAGCGCCCCCAGCGGTGAGTGCGTCGTCTCGGTTCACTCACATATCGCTGAATTTCATTTATTTTTCCAGCTCTGTTGACACTCCATTATCTTATAAATGTTCATCCCTATTATTCCCTTGTTCTCCTCATTTGTTGCTTATATTAAACATTTTTGTATTGTAAAATAGCGAAATAGAAATTATCAAGCCCAGGCTAGTATGTCCTTATTTAACAGACAAGCCACTTGTTAACGCTGTCACCGATGATCCAATTTTAATGGCTATAAAGAATAAGAAGAGAGCAAAACTTGTCTTCTCAGTGAATGGAATAAAACATTGTTCAACAACTTATTTACTGAATAACAAATTGTTTAATTAGCAATAAAGCATATAAATTTATTAATTCTCTTGCATGTTGCCAGACGCGTCTGGTGCATTGGCAGCGACCATAGCCGGGTCCGACGAACTGCTCATGTCTCAACCCATGGCCTCGGCTCTGAGTGCTGGAGGCTACCACCTACCACCCAACTACTCACTCTACCACAACCCCTCCGCCCCGGGAGCCTCTCATCAACACGGTGGGCCCAACACTGGGCAGCTCTTCGACGCGTTCTCTGCGGGCCCCGCGTGGGAGGCACGAGGCCCCTACTGCATTGGCGTCGAGATGACTTCCTGTTCCAAGTGCCACAACTGCCACACCCTCCTGTACGACGAGGAGATCATGGCTGGGTGGTCGGCCGACGACTCTAATCTCAACACCAAGTACGCATATCAGTCGTGTTGCACTTATCAATCGTGTGACACATTTATCAATCGTGTGACACATTTATCAATCGTGTGACACACTTATCGATCGTGTGACATTCATCACTCCTGTGACACATTCATCAGTCGTGTGACACACTTATCAGTCGTGCGGCACATTTACAAGTGGCGTAACACGCATGAGTCGTGTGTCAACATTTAGATCAAACTACTCATCTTTGTTGCGCAGAATGCAGTCGTCATGGATTGTATTGCCTTGTTGACAAGTCTTCACTTAGTCGTTTGTCAAAGTTTGGGCGTTCGTATCCAGGCACTACAAATATGTAGGGGCTGTTTGGGTGACTTTGATCCAAAAGTTCCCCCTTACCCATGCCTAAAGCTGCGTAACGCTCTGAGTCCTCACTGCGTACAAAATCCCATTTCGGACTGACATGAAAATATGAAAATACTTTTAAATACTACAACTGATTAAAATGATTTAGAAAATTTCAAAAAGGGTAAGGACTGAAGAGTTCCAAAACTTTTAGGTTCATTGTTGATTCACTTCAGATTATGGGCTTATTTTGTAACATCTAAAAGCTTATTAGCTACATTCTTGTTATTTTGTACCGAAATTTGATTTGTAGATTAGTAAACGGAATTACTTTCATGTATGAGTAATAATTGAATGGTGCAGATGCCGATACTGTGACCGTGACACGGTGCCTGTGCTGACCATCACCGTCTACGATTTGCTGCATCTGCCCAAATCTGAGGCGCCAGGTCTGTACATTTCAATCGATTTAACACATTATTATTATCAGTAAGCTACCACGTTATCTCAGGTTATTATTAAAGCATGACTTAACGGATAGTGGTTGGCCGGCGTTCGTATGAATGACGTCACTGAACGCTACTACTTAGTCCCGTTATTAACGTCTGTGCAACCATCACCTCGAGTGTGTAACGATGCGTATAGCCTCACATAGTATGACGTGTTATGAGATCAAGGTTGATGAATTTTTTCCTCAATGGTTCTTTTAAACTTACATTTTGTTTTTTGGGTACAAATCCTGTATGAATCTCGAAGGAAAACTTTCTCGAAAAAATCAACAAAATATTCTGCTCCTCTCATAGCCTCGAACAAAATCCCTCGCTTGATATCGTCGTGACTTGCCCTGACTACCTCGTGTACGTTTATCACTTGTACGAATTAGCTTTCTTCCCCGCATTTCTATTATATTAATCTCTATACCCCTCGTCCATGTTTCTATGAGTGTTTATTTACTTCAAACCTTTGATTATTTTTTAAATTTTCATGCCCTGCCGTCGGATCGCTCCCTGTAGGTGTTGAAGCCGAGCGACAGAGAACGTCCTCTGCTGATGGCGCTAGAAGCTCTGCTAATTCACTCAAAGATGAAATATTCAAGAATGTTCGTAGCAAAGTGAGTAAACTCTGATGTAGGTACTTTAAATGAAGGCATTTGATCTAAATGCGACTGCTTAGGATGTTTTCTCAATGTATATTTTATTTCTAAATGTATGTATTTGTTCTGTTAATGTTATTAGTGTGTTTCCTAGCCGAAAAGACGTGAAAAATATTGGATTTTGGAAATGATTATGGAAATTTTCAAAAGTACTGTGGTGGAATTCGAAATTTTGATTCAACTTCTCATGCTCATATTTTGTATGGTCCTTAACAGGTGTAAAAATGTCCCTCTTACCCTTCTGGTTTCTATAGGCATACTTGGGTTGCCTCTTGCATCTTGTTCGAACTGTGATTTGTTTTTTCTTAGTCGTACATTTGTACAGGCTGTTTCTGGAAACTATATGAATCATTCCGTCAATATATTTCATTACAAGCATTGTTGTTTAAAATGAAGTGCTTTCTTTCGCTATTTAATTTCTCTTAACTTCGAATCTTCGTACACGTTTTTTTGTGTGCAATTATCGGGTTCATTGTGTCAAACTTCGCGTTTTGGTACGTACCTATATTAGCCGTAATCATTGCGTCGAATACGAATTCTCTTAAAGAACGCTTTTACATAACAATTATTTGCAGAGCTGCGGCCGAGAACCGATGACAGTGGCGTACCTGAGCCCGCTGGTGCTGCGTAAGGAGCTCGAGAGTATGCTCACTCATGAGGGCGATGATGTCCTCACTCAGCCGTCCTGTCCCGAGAAGCACCCCATACTTTATTGGAATATGGTATGCCTTGCACATGTATTTTTTTACTCTGGGGATTTGAAAGACGTTACATACCGACTAGATACTCATATTTATTACATACTCATATTGATTACGCGTGTATTCCTGTGTTTCAGTTATGGTACTTCACAAGACTCGGTCTGCCCAGCCAGTTATCTGGTCTGTGCCTTGCTGCCACACTCGCTACAGACAGCCACCGTCTACACCCTTCTTGGTGCTCTAACTCAGCTACCAATAATGCTGCCTCTGCTGCTAGCGACGTTGCAGCTTCTACTGCAGGAGCTGCAGCTTCTAACGAAGCTGATGCCAGTGCATCTGCGCCGGATACTGACGTGACTTCCGCAGCTGACGTTTCTATCGTAGTAGCTCCTGAGGTCGTCATTGATTCCCACAAAAACACTTCTGCAGACACTTTCGTTGAAAATACTAAGAATATACTGCTTGAACAAGTCGAATCTGGTAAAGAACCTGAAACTTTATTACCAACGGATAATGTTCACATGAAAGACGATATTATGAGCGAAGGTGTTAACGTTAGAACTGTTCCTAACGGTGATCTGGAGGCAACAATCCTACCCACCAATGAGTGCGTGAGTGATAACAGTTCGAAACCGCAAGAATTTAGTGATCGGAAAGACTCTATATTAAAAAATCTAGTCTGTAGCAAAACACCCACCGAATTACCTTCAACTTGTGTCTCTAACGAAACGAGAGACCAGACGCCTGGCACTGTACCTGACGCTGCTTCGACACCAACGGCTCTCCCGCTTCAGACGTCGTCGTCGAAACCCAAGTTACCAGACTGGCGAAATGTTTTCGTCATTTGTATGTGGGATTGTCCACTCTATCACCAAGAAGTGAGTGATTGATATGCTTCCCTGATATAATTGACGTTTCTTCCCATTGCCTTCATTGAAGTTATGCCCCGCACTGTATTTGGATTTAGGGCAAGTTGTAATCCCTTAAGACGTTTGGCACCGAATTTCAGATTCCCTCGAAAATTTTGAATGATCTTTCTGCTGCGGAGTAAGATTACTTTTAATTTCTTTTATATGTAATTCGTTAATTACTATTCAATCAATTATTTTACATAAACAGCGCATGTAGCAGAATTTTATTGTAGCGCCGCGTTTAGTATTGACTGCGTATATAAATTTGCAGCAATGACTGCTTGTTTGATTCTACTTTGTGAAGATTCAGAACGCGATAACGTGATACTTTTTAATGTACGTCATTATTCTTTATTTATTTAATTTATTTTAAGCCATATTAAGGTTTGAATACAACAGCTCATCATTTGTATCTTGTCCTTGCATTACATGTGCCGTTGTGTGCAGATCGGCCCGCCGCTGTACCTGCAGCAGAGACAACGAGGGGCAAGCTCGCTTCTTGTTCGCGGCCTGGTCAACCAGCCGCTGCTTATAGATGAGAAGTGAGTATTCTTAATGATTATCTATATATAAAAATTTTTAATTTGGAAGCCTCTTATGACTAACGGTGAGTCTTACAACTGTTGAAAGGTAAAGACAGTGTTGATCCCTCTTTAAGTTATAATAGATTATTCATTGCTTGGAAATAATCGTGTATCTTTTTGTATTGCATATAATTATATTTTTGAAAATGAAATTATCCCAATGTTTTATGTGTACAACCAATGTCTCGTTTTTCACCAGCATCCTGCAAAGCATTCTCACGCTGATCCTGGTGAACGACCTGCAGTCAGCCATTAAGATGTTCGCTCAGGAGCTCCGCAAGCGCCCTACCAACCTCCAGCAGCGCCGCCTGCCGCTCTACCGCGACCTGCTACTCTTCGCCTCTGATGCCATCTCCCACCCAGCCGTCAACATGGGTCAGTCTGACACACTTACCGTATCTCGTGGCACTATTACAAGTCATTTACTTCACCAAATCATTTAATGCTGGGACTTCGGGGTGCTTTTGAAATTCGTTATTGGAAATAAGTCCCTACTTCGAATATCCTCCTTTAGAGTCAAATGATAAGTAGAGCAACGGTGCGTCATTTTTTATGTGAAAATTGTTTTGTGTGCACGTTTTGCTGTCGTTAGCTAAACAGCGTCAGAGAAAGAAAGTTCACGTATAATAATAAGATGACGAAATCTTTCGTGCCTTGGCCGTGAACTGACCTGCCATGGATGTCGGGAACAACTTTTCATAAGTTTGTTTCCTTCTACTGCTAAGAAATAAGTTATTAACAAAAAACGCTCAAAACCGTCCCTTTTTACCCCGTTTGACGGTAACTTCATAAATTGTCAGACTTTTCAACTGAACTCAATACCAACAATGACTAGAATAATTTGTCGAAAGAGAAAGTAAGCTAGAATAATTTGTCACGTTGCAATTGTGTTGCAGTGGCGTTCGAGCAGCGCTTCAGGGCCGCGTACGACAGCCTGGACCCCAGCATAGCGGGTCTCTTTACCCCCGCGGACTCCGCTCCTCCCCTCGCTGCTAACTTCGCCAAGCGCTGCTTCCCTCCACTATCCCTCTAACGTACTGGTCGGCGCTGCAACAGGATTGACGAACTCCACTTCTACCCTTTATTTTAATACATTTCATATCTACTATGTTTGTACCTTTGGGAATTGCATAATATGGTAGAAACAAGTTGTTCTACTATCCTCGGATACTCTTCTGAACCTTCTCTGATGTCAAATGATTGTCTTTTCTTCGCCTGGTATTTTGGTTGAGTAAATCTATTTTTCTTTCTGCCGTCAACGTATCATCTTATTTCCGAATTCTGAAGTTGTTTTCCACTTTTACACCGAGTACTGACACGTTCTTCGTAACATTTAATTCATGTGTGGCAGTTGCCTACTTGTGTGTATTTATGCGGCCCTGACCTCGTGCAATGCTCGCTCTTATTTTTCATTCCATTTCGAATTTACCGCACGAAAGGCGCGTTAACGGCGTCATGATGTTTACAAATATTTCGGTTCCTGGTAAATGAAGTGAGGAAAATTTGAGAAGTCAACGTGAGTTATGCGGGTTTCTTGGAGTTTTTTTCGTCGAAATTCTCTTGGTGTTAAAATTTTGCATAATTTTTACTCGACTGGAGACCTCCTTAGTATATTTTTTAATTTATTTGCGCGTAAGGGAAACTTAATTCATCAGAGATGTAGATAGAATAAACGCTCTTATCACGTTAACTATATTGAGCCATGTTCCATATCATTCGCTTCCTCTCATAGTTTATTGATAGCTTATGGTTGTTTATCGATTTGTATATTTGTGTTGCAATTTTTTGCTTGAGTTCAATGATGACTTCGAGAAATGTTAAAATATCGAATTATGACAGGGCCTGATGTTCCGGTTCTTACTCTAGATCCTAAACCCTTCTGTTTTGTAGCGATTATAAGCCTGAAGCTAGTTATTAAAGTGCAAAAATCTCCAGGATGACGGCCGATGTGATCAGGTGTTATTTATTATATTCTTCCGCGTAATTGCGCTATTAATTTTACTTGATTAACTTCATAATCGAACAGCTTGCCGCTTTGTAATTAGGGAAAAGCTTGATAATTTTATCTTTTTGAGGACATCTGTGTTTTTCACACATGAAATATCACCCAACTGCCTCATGATGCTCGAAATTTTACGGAATAATGTTAGTTCGTTCAACAGATTGATGAGATCTGTACTGGAGTGTCTCGAGCGTTGTCTCTTCGCTATGAGTGAGTGCATTTTTGCCGCTATTAATTTAGCCGTGATTACCTCGCTCGTTTTCAGGGCCTATACTTTCAAAAAAAGTAAAGAGATCGTAAATTCATCAGCCAATCATTGACAGCCTTTCAAGCTAAATCCACCAATCATAGACAAGAAAAAAGAGCGTAAGTACCGGTACTTGCGTTCACTTAGCGAATTTTGAAAGTATGGCCCCTGGTCTCGTTGCTGGCCAGGAGCTCCTCAGCACATTCTGGGGACAGAGTAGGCTGTTTGATTCTACCCAGAATTGCATCTTTCCATTAATCATGACACGAACGCCAGCATTTGCTGTTGCAATGCGTATTTCTGTGTATAAATTGTGATGTAAATACCTCGATTATATAATCTGTGTGGCTAGTCTGCTACAACTGAGTTGTTGTTATTCGAAGTATTAACTAAGCTGATCATAAAAATGGTGAACTCTCCGTCGGTGGTTACTGTTTAGTAACTCGTTGTCTTTTTGCTACTACGCAGCCTCTGAACAAATCATGAATCTGGTTTTATGAATAAGTTTCTCTGTACTATAATGTCATATTGAAGGCACAGTCATTCCTTTTTCCGCGTCACTGAAATACTCTTATTATATTCCTTATCTTTACACCACATGAAACGTAATGAATTTGAGCGAAAGAAACGTTGGTAATGATGAGTTTGACTTTCGTGATCCTATTGAAAACGAAATCTCCGATTCTGTACTAAAGATATCATATTTTTTGTATTTATTTGGTCTTATACTTCTAAATTATTAGGTTTCTGCTGTACAGTTTGTTGGTGATCGATAGCGTTGTTTTACTTGTGTTCATTCTGCTGCTGAATTTTATGTGAATGTAGAGCGTTTTACAATATGTTCTTTGTCTACTGAGAACGCATCACCATATAATTACCCACACTTTCTCTTCCTCATAGGATCACGTTTCAAGGTCCACTTCTCTTGGCCTTGTAGCGCTCTATTGCGTAGTACTATTATTATCGGCTTGCATGTAGTGGGCGGATTAAGGAATAACCTCTTTTGATATAAATCATCGGTGTTAATCCTGGTGCCATCGAAGACAAAGCCATCTTCGTCTCTCACAAAGAAGAAATGCGTCAACTCGTCCTGTCTTTCTGGTTCGATTTTCGCTCGTCAGGAAAGATCGGTCATCGTCTCCTGCCATTGCGCTCGGCCTTGTTTGCCCGTGCGTACTGTACTCTAATTCTGTAGTGTAGCATCTGTTAGCAATATTCCATCCTTTGATTTTATTTTAGTGATAAGCTTAATGTAATGAATTATTTGCGTGATGAAATAGTTATATTTTGATGTTTGAAGATATAAAAGACTCAATATTGTAAGTAAGTAGCTAGTTAGTTTGTCACACTCATTCTTTGTTTTGACAATGCGTTCCTAAGTCTCTAGAAAGAATTTCAATTACTTTGTTACCTTTGAATAAGAGCCTGCAATACATAATTACAAACGGTAATTCTTTCATTGCAATGGTATTACTTCATTTCCAAGAGTTATTATTATTTATTACCGAGTTGTTTGCAACAATTGGTAGCTACTCTTAACATTTTCGAGCGCGGGAGGTGCTAACGCTCTCCTGGCTGATGGATACTTAGGCCTGCAGGAGCAACGGTCATCGACGAGGTGGATGAAAGTACGATAGATTAGTAGCCAGCTAACTTGCAAATGATTCAAGATTCACAATAATCGTTGTTTTCTTCTTTAAAACACAATTTGACATCTGTAACGACTAGCTGTACATAAAACTCGAAGTTTCCATATATTTTTTCAAAATTCAAGTCTCTGCCTATGAACCCGTTTACATTTTGTCCATTTGATTCATTCTCATGATAAGTCTTCGTACTTTTTTTCTATTTGTCTTGGCTGTGACCGTTGCTGGGGATACTGAACGCTCCCCCGGGGCTCCGAGTTCATTTACTTTTCTTAAACAAGAGAATTTCTCTCCAGCCTCTCATTGATAACGGGAAAATCAGGTCCCATCCGAACGTTTAGAATCTTAGGTAGTATTCTCGATGCTAACGTAGCATGCTAGTAATAGGGCCGTCAGCGTCAAATAGGCATAATCTGCCCTGTAGCAAATTCTAGATATCGCCAAATTGTCACAGTTTGCTGGGGGTTTTGAACCCGAAACTGACTGCTCCAATCTTTCTATTCTCAATCACCCGGCCATCTCGCCGATTTTGACCAAAACTGTCACGGGAAACCCCTCGGGGGGGGACTTAGGGATTCCTTACATCAAGTTATTATGTAGGTAGGATTCCTTACATTTCCTTTTTGTCTCTCGTGCTGGCGGCCGACGTCCCGTGTAAGCGACCTCTTGTTCGAGTGTCTTAGTTTCTGTTGCTTTTCACCTGTCTCTCCTTGTCACTTCGTCTCTTTGAGATGCTAACGCTGCTTCTTTCGAGCCAGCATCAGCGGGCTGATCATCTGAGACCTTCCACCCCTTGAGGGTGATGAACAATATTTGATTTGAGAAACTTTTGATAATTGAGACCTTCCACCTCTTTGGTGATGTTCATCTTGACTTTCGGTGCGAGATAGCCAAGTAGCTGAAGCGTTAGTAAACATGTGGCCACTAAACTGTCACGTGAAACTGGGATCGAACCCGCGACTGGTTCTCTGAACTGTAACCACTGTACCACCTTCTGTCGAGACTCGACAGTTATGACACGTGTTCCTGGTTAGACGGCCTGGAATACAGAGTCTGATTAAACTTCTGATGACAACGTTATGACAACCCTGATGAAGCTCAAATTCCATCTGCACTTTCGTAATGCTAATGAATTTTAGGCACTAATTTTGATAACTATCCCTCTTTGCTCTGCTTCGTCTTCCTATTTTCATATTTGCTTTAGTGAGCGTCTGAAAGAATTCACTATAATTTTACAACGAAGCTTCTTGTATAAGCATAGGTTTCCATCGATTGGAATGTTTTTTTTATTATAGTGGGGAATTTGTGTACCGATTTATTAATTAAACTTATAATTACATCCTGAATGATAGTCGAGCCGTAGTCGAGACATCTTTAGTGTGACTGGTGATCATCAATTCTCAATAATTAACTACAAGCTTCTGTTTCTCGAGTAGTTTCAAAGTAGCAAGACGAAGGTAGCTTTTCCATCTTCTAAATCGTTTCCACATCCTTGTAAGTGCCCGTAACCCAAACAAAGCGAAGATGTCGTATATGCTGCAACATCTCCACAATGGATGGCAAGTGGATCAGGCAATTCTCAGTGAAGAGGACCGCTGTGTGGTGAGTGTCTTGTGAATATCTAAACTATAAACTCGCTTGATGCATGCAGCTACCTGGAAAAATCATTGCAACGACATATTGTTTCTCCGTTGGAATAGGTAGCTTCAAATAGAGGGATTTTTTTAATAAGAGTAGACGACGAGGAGACATTTATTATGGCTAAATTTGCCATGTTCCGAGCTTCACTTTTGAGCCATATTGCTGCTTCAGTATGCCCGTCTCTTTTTCCTCACTCGAAACAATGAATATGTCATATTGTTCAAATAGTGACTCACTCAGACTGTACGCTGCTCTGATACCCTGTTTTTGCCGGGCCGAACATTGTTAGGATAACCGCACAAGGGAAAAAAGTGCATCGCTATGTGGACGAAGTTTAACTCATTTTTCTGAGTGTTCTGTGCGATGTAATTATTTTGCCTTACTTTTGACTGATTTCATTGTCAGTTGTTGTAGTGCTGAGTAACTTTATCAGTTCTCATTATCATATGATCTTGATCATCTTGCTAATCTTGCTCCCCGAAGACGCTGAAAAGTAAATATTTACATTGATGGTGCGAAGCCATTTTCTCATACCTATAGAACAATATAGATCGCCTTTATTCTGTATTCGTAAAACAATTATTGTTATTAGGTTCATGGAACAATTGTATTTTCTGTTAAGAACAGCAAATTAATTTAGTATAGTACGGTATAGTGATTCGGAGCTGAAGAATTGGCACGGTGAACGTATTGATTGTGAAAACTAAATAAAGTTTATTAATGTTTCAGGTTATAAGATTTGGCCACGATTGGGACCCACAGTGCATGGTGATGGACGAAGTACTCTACAACATAGCGGAGAAAGTGAAAAATTTCGCTGTCATTTACCTCGTGGACATCACGGAAGTGCCCGACTTCAACAAAATGTACGAGCTGTACGACCCTTGCACCATCATGTTTTTCTTCCGTAACAAGCACATTATGATTGACTTGGGCACCGGTAACAATAACAAAATTAACTGGCCTTTAGAGGACCCGCAGGAAATGATTGATATCCTGGAGACTGTTTACAGGGGAGCGAGGAAGGGCCGAGGTCTCGTCGTGTCTCCAAAGGATTACTCCACGAAATATCGATATTAATTAAACCATAGATCAATCATTATTTCATCAAACTTCTCACAAATTTCTGTCATTTGATTTAGGAGATATTTTAGGAATAGTAGAAGAATCATCGTCGTCGGTAAATTTTATCTGAGTATAAGTGTGTATTTACTGACCTTTTGTCCATTGTACAAATCCGGTTTCTGATTAACAAATCCGGTTCTCTTTTTCTCTCTGAAATGTATTTTCATTTAGATGTAGAATATCGTGAAGTTCTCTATTAAGCATTAATATAGTTGAGTGAATAGTTTTGTACTTGATCCTACCTAAAGAGTACAGTTGACTTAACGATTCATATTGTCTCATTTTGGCCTTTCTGGTACTTTTTTATGGTACTATTGAATAAAAAGTTCGCATTAAGATCTGGTTGACAAATAACTGTATATCTATCAACCGTGGGATGTAAAGTAGATAACAGAAATCACTTCTTTGTCTTGAAAACTTTCTCCGATTATGGCTTTTTTTCGACTGCACAAGTCTCCCAGATCTTGCATCAATCATTTCGTGAGTTTAAATTTTCCCTTGTGTATTTTCGCCATCGAAATTCGTTCTCTAGATATGCATTCATTCCGAAGGTAAAAACTGCATACCGCGATAGATAAAAATATATATATCTCAGTACGGTACTCACTGCAGTAAGTGACAGAGAGCGCGATTTCTCATCGACGAAAACGTGAAGTCACGGACAGACAGACGGACATGACGAGCACAATACCGCTTTTCTTCATACATAAATGAGAAAATGTGCTAAAAAAAACTTGAAAATTTTCCTGTCCCCGCGATACGATTTTGAGAAATCACCGTGCACGTTCCCTTGTTTTTTCGTGGTTCGAAATTCTACACTCAAGATCAAGCCAACGTTACCTTGCCGTCAATCAATACTGGCAACGCCATGCTTATTTGCTTGGCCACCATGAACTGACCTGCGACCTGCAAACAATGTTCAATGGCCGACTGTTTCATGGGCACTCGTAACTCACGGATTGACATGCAACCTGCAATATAATATCAAATACGAGTCTCGTAGCTGACTTTTTCATGGACACTCGAAATAGACGAATGAATTGTCCGAACGAAAATACGACTTTCATTTGTGGTCCATCGTAATGGAAAGGAATTCATTGTACTATTGCATAATTGAAGAGTGTTCCATCATGCAGGATATTGTAATGAACGCATCATTTGTGGACGAGCGCATTTACGAGCACAATCAATAGCCGAGTGAGCATGTACGCCTGGCGTCCACTCGCGCGCAACAAAGCGAGGAAGAGCAACTACAGCGAATAGGTTTGTTTTGCCCTCCTCTGTACTCAGAATTACCAAGAAAGAACTAAGGTGAACGAGTTCTCTGTTATTGATGTATACTTATTGATATGCCATCACCTGCTACATAGCTATCGAGTTCCCGCTGACAACACGTAGCAACATTTGTGCCTAGATTATTCAGTGGAAAGTGCAACATCATTTATTGAGCTCAGGTTCTTTAATTTACCTGTCGAAGAGAATTTCAATCAAGTGCTAAGTAATAATAATCAGACAATAGGTAATAGCTATGTTATAGGTAGCTTGAAAGACAGATTATCCTATCATTAGGTTGAAATGATAGAAGCCACATGGATGAACTCTGAAGAGTAACAATCATTTGTTCCAGAAGGCCTCAGAGACGAGATTGATTGGCATAGACTAATAATAACTATATTAAAGATCCCCGACCAATCGGTAACTACACAAACTAAGTACACAAGCGGGTGAGGGTGAATTAATTTATCATAAGAAAAAGCGAAATTACGAATAACTGAGGTATTTATATCGACATGCACAGTGCAACGAAATTTGAATGTTTGAAGTAACAATAATGAATGTGTTCGACACATACAGGATGATTCACGGATATTTCCTGATTTGAAAGCTCAATGAAAACAGAATATCGTAAAGATATCATTACAATGTAAATTTTATTCAAAAAGACATTCCCTGAATTTTTGTATCACTTAGTTTTATAGATGACATCGGAAAAATGAGAGCCCCCATATTGTTAATGCGTTCAGTGAGTCGATTTTTGAAGTTCCGTTCAACTCTGCAGCATTTTGACTGGTATGCTCTGTTGGCGATGGCTTGGCGTATGTTCGTCAAATGAGGTATGATTCTTGGACAGTCATTAATTGTAATTAAATTATTTAGGATAACCTCTCAAAAATCATACCGAATACAATATCGCATTCTTAAAAATTACCGGAAAATTTGCCACAAAGGGAGGAGACATTTTCGGAAGAGGCATACGAGGTATTCACGCGATCAAATAGATGCAAGTGAGCCGGGCTGCAGGTTTTAAAGGCAGGAATAGTTTTCTGGCCAACCCATAAATTGTTACTGACATCAACAAGCGTCCAGAGCATTTATGTCATGCAAGCCAGCATAATAAAGCACATGAAATGTTGTCATGTAGGATCTCTGAAAGGTGAAAGCATCTGCGCGGCTCCATGTGGGGTGGAAGCATCTGCATTCTCCAATGTGGGGTGGAAGCCCCCCCCCCCTAGTGCCTCGTGTGGGGTGGTAGCCGCCCCGTGTGGGGTGGAAGCCCCCGCCGGCCTCATGAGGGTGGAAATCCCCCCGAGTGTGGGGTGGAAGCCCCCCTAGTGCCTCGTGAGGGGTGGAAGCCCCCGAGTGGGGTGGAAGCCGCCCCGTGTGGGGTGGAAGCCCCCGCCTGCCTCATGAGGGTGGAAATACCCCCGAGTGTGGGGTGGAAGCCCCCCAAGTGCCTCGTGAGGGGTGGAAGCCCCCGAGTGGGGTGGAAGCCGCCTCGTGTGGGGTGGAAGCCCCCCCGAGTGTCCCGATCGAGGAAGTGTGCGAGGTGAAGACGACACGCGCACGAGCTCAGTGTTCGGACGCTACATAGGGATTTTCGTTAAAAAATGATCGTCGCCACAGAAAAAAAAAGAAAATTGTCCTTAAATCTCTGAATATAACTATAGACTGAAAATAAATGTACTTAAAAATATTTGTGAAGTAGACCTTTCGAAAATATCTGGATAACAATTCACTCATAACAAACAAATTAACAACTATCTGCACACGTAATTTATGAATCTGAACCAAACAATTGTCTATTCGAGTCAATAAACGTGATCTAAATACGTTAAAAATGAAGTAACTTCAAAGTATCAACAGACGTTAATTCAACATGCATGTTCGACTGCACACAATAAATATTAATGCTACCTACCATATGTTCTAAATTGATCAAATAATAAGATCTGATAGTGGAATTATCAGTCCTGCAACAGAATTAGAATTGGTTTATTGAATTGTGCTTTTACCAATACGTCCAAGTATTTTACGCCGCGACGTGTTCGTGATCAATTGATGCGGACGCGATTAATTTCTCGCGAATGATTTCTTTTTTCATTTCGGTATTTCAGTTTTCTTTTAGAAGAAAGAGATGATTTATAAATGTTTTTTTTTTCTGTTCTGACAATCGATATTGACAAATTTTCAATGCCCGTTCTGGTGGTGCACTAATAAATTTACTTTCCAATTTGTGGTGGTACAAATCACAATGCCTGTTCTGGTGGTGCGCTAGTAAATTTACTTCCCAATTTGTGGTGGTACAAATCACATTCTTTAATCTTTGATATTATCTCGTGCATTTTACGTGATATCATATTTGTCATTGAATTTATACGTGTCCGGCTTCGTTGAGTGCGCGAGTAGATCGAGGGTCGTCCGCCACACAAAGCCGACCTCAAAAACGCTCGCGACTGACGAGCGATGCGCGAAAAAATTGGACATTCACGGTAGCCAGGATACAATTTGCGGAGCGCGCGGGGGCGCAATCCGGAACGGAAACTGTGATTGCGGCTCGGCGGAAACGAGAGCAGTTCTGTGATTGGTGTGCATCCTTTAGAGAGGATCAATAACCTCACCGCATCCAGCAGCCAATAAGACGCTACAAACTCAGACTAGCTGTCCAATGCCCGCCGTTTTACATTATGACATCAGAAACCTGCTTCTCAATTGGAAACAAAAGGGTAAAAATCTGGCCAGATTTCATGACGTCATGAGCTGGGTTGACCAGTCGTGACCTTGCCTCTTATGGACAGCCCGTGGCAGCCAATAGAAGATGGTTTAGGCGGTGACGTCATGCGTGACGCTTCGATTGGCTGGGTTTTGTGGGAAACTGCAACAGGTTCGATATAATATCATAGCCATTATGGCTGGGTGGAGTACATTTAAAAGGCAATGGCCTCCCCTGCGTGCCTCCCGACCACATGAGGTTCGTGCATGTATCCACGGTCCCTGTGAGGCTGTCGTGCATCAACAATTGCTCGCCGCTCATCATTGTCTCTTCAAATTGAATATACAGAATTTATTGAACATTTAACTGCACAATTACACAACAGTCTGAAACTAAAAATTGTGAGAGACGAGAGAGTTCTTATGATGAAAGATACTTTTACTTAAATTTAATGCTAAGGAATAGACTACATTCCCGTAGTATATTCCTTATAGAAGTCTAGTTCGACTTTGAATTTGACATTTATGCACAATTCCCGTCATTGCTTATGAAAAAGAGCTATTATATTTACCATCGTGCAATACTATGGAAGCAAAATCAATTGAATGTTCGATCTGTTCCGAACCATGCAATTTTTGCACGCTCCTATATGCTCATACAGCTTATATGAAACGAAAGGTTTTTCTTCAATTTACTTAGTTTGTAAAATGTAGCTAATAATGTGAAGAAAATAATACATGCATTTCAAAGGCAAAATAAATTAATTTTGAATGAAACAAATACAATTCCCTTGTCCGACGATTATGGGTAGGAAGCTCGGGCCTTAAATCTCCAAGCTCGACCGGCTGCATATATAGTGGCCGATCAACTGGCGATAGAAGGTCGCCATTCACCGAGCAACGCGTTGAGGGTCTGAAAAATTACAAAAAAATTGGTCAAAACTTCATTATAATTTTGGTGTTAAAATTTGGTCAAAACTTCACGCGGTCAATTAGATTGGAGATTTTAGTTTCGGGTTCGAAACTTGTATCTATAGCTGTCTAGCCGAGAATCGGCGACTATAGCTTAACGTTGGATGGAAAGAATGTTAAAACGCGGTGAATTGGTTCAAATGGGGCAAAGTGAACAAAATGTGTCAGTATTAATTATCTAAAATGTCGAAATCAGTATAACCCGAATAAACTGCAAATCATTCTGTATTAGCTCATCAATCAAAAAGTTTAACAATGTGCTCGTCATCCTATACTGGGTTGGGAATTTTTGGATATCTGGCAAT